GAGGCATTTGTCCCTTCATTTGTCAAATAAGCTAAGCAGAGAAGAGCCCTGCCTCTCTCTCTTGAGTCTCTGCATCTCCCTGAAGTCCACAGAGCAAGTAGTATCCACCTACAGCTGTGAGTCTCATCATATTTTAATAGTGGCTTAGTGGGAGATCTGTTTCCCAAATCATGGTGCCACTTACAGGGATCAGTTTGGGGATCAGCAAGGGCAGTGGTGTGGCTAGTAGTTTTTTCTCCTTCTTTCCCAATATCCACAAGGTGTGACTGAACATTAAGAAATAATGTCAGTGTATAAACTGTGAGTTTGTAACTGTTCAGTAGTTAAGAGACTGAAGAGTTAATTCCCAGAAGTAAACAGAACCACAAAATGGGGAGCTGGGGGATGTCTGGAGGATGCTCTCTATGTGGAGGAAGAGAAGATTTTAAATCTTTACTGCTTGAGGTACACTTTCTTATATCCTTTTTCCCCCTAATGGAGAGAGAACAGGATGATTCCAATTCCTTTCAGGATTACAAAGAAGGGAGAGCTTTAGAGAACTGGTTTTGGCATGAGTCTATACTCTGCATGGGTCAATACTTTGTGTTTTGGTAGGAGATTAGCTCCCTTTAATTTTTTACAGTGGCAAATCTGTCACCTTGATTCTTTAGAAGCCATTGCTCTGATTGTGGGTGATGATTCTATACATCCAGGTAAAAATGTTTATTTAATTTTTCTGAGAAATCAAGAAAATTGGGTTTATAGAGCCCATAAGCACTTTAACCCCTTCTTATTTTATCCACTACTCAATACATATGTGTGATTAAGATATTTGTGCTCACCCTGGCATTAATTATCTAGAGGAATTGGGGTTTATTACTTAATATATTTTCGTGACCTTTTCTTTCATTTCTCAGCTATGTTTTTATTTTCCCTTTATTTCTCATCTAATTTTTTATTCTCTTTATTGACTTTTTTCTTAATAGAAAGTTTAACCCTATCTATATTTGCTTCCCTTCCTACTCCTTTCCCAGTATTCTGTTCTTCCACCTACTTTTCTATTTTAATTTGTTTTCATCTCTACATTTTTATACTGCTAATCTTCCAGTATTCCCATTTTTTTCCACATTCCTCGCTTTCTCCCCTACTTTTCTACATTCATTTATGATCTCCTCGTTTCCATTTTTTGCTCTATTTTCCTCATCTTTTTCAGCTTCTTTCCATAATTCTTGGTTTTGTTTGTGACCTTTTAATTTGTTTTAATGTTTCCCCCCAACCATTTCTTGTATTCCTACTTCTCTATCATTCCACCTCTCTAGCTTATTTCAATGACTACTGGCCTGCATCAACCCTTAAGTCTGCTGAAAGGCTGACTGATCATTTCACAAGGACCCCAGCAATGGGTAGAGACTGCAAATATCCCTTTACATTCAGGCATGAGGAATCTATGCACCATGGTGTGCCAAATACACATTTCATCTGGATGTCTGATATCATCAGAAAATTATTCAGCAGCATGAAAGATGCCAGAGCTGTAGTTTTATCAGACCTTTTTTTTTTTTTTTTTCCTTGTTGGGTTTATTTTCTCAGTTGCAATATATGAATAAATATGTATATTAGAATACTTCCAGAATTACCCAGTTACAGCTGTTGAATAAAGAACCAGATATATAGTAAGAGTTAAATTGAAATAAAAATAGGCAATTGTTCTTCTTATTTTCTAGAATAAGTACCCCTACAAAAATTTAGTTGGAACCACTACTTTACTACCTCATAATGTGCAGAGTTGATTTTTATTTGTTTAATAGACATTCTGATTCTAAAGCACATATTTTCTGATACTCTTGCTGAACTCAGTGGAAATTTCTGCATTAGGTCTGAGGAACTGTGCTATTTATAGTTACCAATATAATCCTGATTGATTCCAGAGGAATGTGAGGTGCTTTTAAGATCATTAGAGTTATGAGGAAAGAATGTATCTGATTGTTCTTAAGTATGCTTTTGTTTATTTGGAGTAAAAGACCATTACAGTCCTAGAGTTGAGAAAATATGGCAATTTATGTAACTAACATAAGAACCATGCAAGTGCCTCTTACAAAGGTCAAATCACCAACTAAATGGCTTATTTTATTTTTCTTTACATAATTTTCAATATTGTGTATTTGAACATTCTAACATAGCATAAACAGGAGCGTTTAAAAATAAATGTTGTATCTTTCTTACTAGGTGATTTTAACGTGTTTGTTTGAATTTTATTTTCTGCTTTCTTTTAGTATTTTCCTATGCAGAAGAATAAATGGTAATTAAAATGTGCAGGATGAAAAGATGGAGCAGTCAGTGCTTGTACCACCAGGACCAGACAGCTTCCAATACTTCACTAGAGAGTCTCTTGCAGCTATTGAACAACGCATTGCTGCAGAAAAGGCTAAGAATTCTAAACAAGATCGTAAAGATAATGATGATGAAAATGGGCCAAAGCCAAACAGTGATTTGGAGGCAGGAAAAACACTTCCGTTTATATACGGCGACATACCTCCAGGAATGGTGTCTGAGCCCTTGGAAGACATGGACCCATATTACATCAATAAAAAAGTGAGTCTAATATCAATCCTGTTCATATGCCAGCATTTGGGATGCTTTGTCATGTTCACTTCATTTCCATGCAGTGGGTAATATAGCCTGTTACTTCAGTCTGTTAACTGGCAACTGTGTAGGAAAATGTCATTCTAATAATGCGGAAACAGTTGAGCATTGCTAAAAGGACTAGGTATACAACAGGAGCAGAAAATGTTTGATGCCAGTGATGCATATACATTCTACCTTCCAGAAAGTTAAAAAATAAATATTTAATATCTTCTAGTTATAAAAAGTTGATTTTGCTAATGTTTGGGTTTAGAACGTATTAACCCTTCTGTGCTCTTGACACACTGGTCCTTGGGCTTTACATAAGGAGGTATTTTGAAGTAATATTCTTTTTAACTTTAAATTAATCAAATTGGCAATAAATATAACTTCATGACTGATTGTATAATATGGTTATACAATGAATGTAGAAGGGTATAAATAAATAGTGTGAAAATCCAGGCTTCTGTTCACTGCTCTCTAAATCATTAGCAAAATGCCCACTGTCCTCTATGGTACAGGACAGAATCCATCACCCTTAATGGTTACTAACCTTTCATCCTTTTCTTTTAATTTACATCAAAATTTATTTGTTTGATATGGTTGAATTTATATCAAAGGAATATTTATATCAAAGCTGAAACATTATATGTTGTCTTTGATTATAAGCAATATATAATACCTATACAAATGTGTATACATAATAGATGACATACTTTGCAAAATTTAAAAAAGTGAAGATATATTGAAACTAAGTGCACCAACACACCACACTTTCTCTAAGGTTCTTCGGATTTAAAACTGACAGCACGAACTAGTGCATAGCACATTTTGTTCCCAGAAATCTGCTTTGATAGCAAATTCTTAGGAACTTTATGGAATCAATAGAGGAACACATGGATAAGCAGAAAATACAATAAAGAGAGCGTAAAACTGATTTTAAATTTTCTGGTGGAACTGGCCTTGAACAGTCCTGGAATACTTTCAGGATGATTCTGTTGCACAGCCCATATAAAGCAAAAAAGGTTCATTGTCTATAGTGATAACTAGCATATGTGATACTTTAATTATTAAACACTGTGACTATGAAAGCTATAACTATCAAGACAAGAGTTATTTTGATTTTCATGAAATGCTGTGTTCTCAGTGCTTTTTAGCTTGCCAGATTTCATGTGATTTCAGTCCTGTTTTGACAAGAGAGAAAATACTATGTAAAAGAACAATATTTTTATCTTTATTATTTGATGCCTCTGAAAGAGCCTTTATCTGCCATTCTTGGTTTATGAAGTTTTATCTTTAAATCACAGTTCTACTTTTATGAAGATAAAAGATGCATTTCTATAAAAGCAGGCCTTGTAGGGTTCTGTACTGATTGTGTCTGTTTATCATACAAAATCACATGTAATTATATCCCTACCTGCCCACAGCTCATCCTGGACCTTTATAGTCAAATCAGTCGACCTTGTGTGTCTTACAGTGAAAACAGATGCATGCTAAGTATGACCTACAGGTACACTTCTAGAGCCCTTAGAAATGGAAGATTCTTTCAGTCACTCCACAGATGGAGCAGAAAACTTACTACATCAGCCAGGTCTAATGATAGAGTTGCAAGAAATGGAGTGAAACCAGCTGAACATAGTCAGCCACGTTTCTGTTATATTAGGAAGGAAGAATCTTTTTATATGCACACTGAATAACTTATGGGCAAGTCACGTACCCTCTGGGATTCTCGTCTTTGTGCTGAAGTCCACACATCCTCTCTGTGCACGTGCTTTCATCTTCTACATGACAGGAATAGAAACAGCCCTGTCAGTCAAAGAAAAGACAAAAATTTTTCATCCACTACAATTCTCTCAGTTTTTTCTTCTTTCAGTAGGAGGAAAATAGACTTTCCTAACAGAAATCTAATATCTATTTCAATTTTACATCAGTACTTTGACTTTAAAATATCTAATTCCTAGATTTTCTTATCTAGCTGTATGTGAATTCTGGAAAGACTTTTATCTTGTTTCACTTGTCTTTTGAGAGTATTGGTAGAAGTTGATGTTCCTGCAAGTCTCAGAAGGAGAAATAGTTTGAGAAAAGCCTGAAGCAGACGTGAATATCTCCAGGAAGATATGAAGGACTCTTAATGCTCAATACATTTACCTCTGTACCATTTACATTTCAGCTTTCTCTTTATCCTTCTCTGAATTTCACCTTGTAAAGCCAGGGAGTCAGTCAGGACACCCTATCCCAATGTAACAGTATGACAACTGCTGCACAACGGTTAGAGCTTTTATATTTCTGCCTGGGGAAGCATCTATCGGAAATGATACGGGTCTAATGAAAAAAAAAAACCCAAACCTAGAATGAAGGAAAATACTTATTTTCAAGACAGGGTTAGGACAAGTGTATGGATTAGCAGATGCCGCGATTGCTTCAGACCTCTACTGAGATCTCTGCATATCTGACTTATCAACAGAAACCGTGTCAGTTTGGCTTGCAAACTTTCAAGTAGGAAATAGATATGGTTACCTACAGCACTGATCAAATGATGCTAATGAACATGGTCACAGTGTTAATTCAAGAAAGCTGTACAAGAATTTTAGGAATATCTTTTTTATTCCAAATTTGCATCAGGAATTAAATCATCCATCATTTTGGCTTATCTGCAAGTATTGCATCCCACTTGCTGAGAGTTTTTTTCCTATTTTTGTAAAAAGATGAACAAGTTCACTGCATTTTTGCATGCATCAGATGTTGACACATCATCTAGAGTTTTTTACAATTCATCTTTGGGACTTTTTCTCTAAGCAGTAGGCTTGTGCTTGCCATGATTTGATACAGTTTAATACAGAATAAGACAGGAATAAATAAATGTGTTGAGCTGGTGTGAAAGCCTTAATTTGTGGATAAGATAGCCCTACGACAAAAAGTTAAAAATGGGAAAACCTGCTAAGGCAAACAAAAACAGATAGGTGTGCTAATTTTATAGTGTTGTAACTGGGCTCCTGTGTAAAACCCACGAACAAAGAGGATGTATTCATGCCCAATACTAATCTGAAATTGAAAGGAGAAGGAAAAAATTGACAACCACTGTTTGACAACAGAATGGCCCGTTATGGCAAATTTACTCACCTGATAGTGTTATTGATTTACACGGTATCACAGGTAGCCTGAATATCAGCAACTGTACCCTTGGAACATAATTATTTTATTACAATATAATACAATACTTGTTCTTATATTCTTACAATTTTATTATAGTGAAATGCTGCTGACTGTGGTGGTCGATAATGCTGGTCTTTAGAACTGTGGAGTTTAGCATCCTAAATGGTTGTAATGCTCTTTTTTTTTTTTTTTTTTTTTTTTAATCCAAAATTGAGTAAAAATGAACTTGGACTTTACCCATTTTTTGCGTTCCACTTCAGCGTAAGTGCAAATCTGTGTGTTCCCGGTATAATAGTGACTCTCTGTTCATGCTCAGGCTTCCATCACAAAGGATCAAGGAGGCTCACATCACTGCCTATAGAGAAAGGACCAGCTGGAATGCCCTAAGATCCTGACCTGCAGGCATGCATCAAAATCTGGTCCACTTGGTTTCATACTTTAAGGGCTGTCTATTTTCTCTTGAACCGAGGCTGCTACATGAAAGAGGAGGGAAAGAATAAGTGGAACTAAATAGGTCTTACTTGACTTTCCTCCTGCTGTAATATAGATACGGCATTTTTGATTGCCACTCTGTGCCCTGCCTCTTGCCAGAAGGATGTTGAACAATGTCTGTCAGAAAAGGTGCCTCCTTTTGTCCTGGCACTTAGTACTATCAGTCCCTAATCTGATCAAACCACTAGCTCCTGGGATTCCCAGACTTGTCTTGTGTTGCAGAAATAAAAAGATTCTGTAAAATTGCTTCATTACATCAGAAAAGGTGAATAAACTAGCGATTTTAGATATTTTTGATAGTTGTAAGTGAAAGAATTTTTAAGTGAAAAGTTCTAGCAAAGCAAAAAACGAAGGGCTTGCTAGAAAACATGGTTTCAAAAGATAGCCACAAAACCAGGAAATGCCAACTTCCAATATGCCATGAGTCTCGTGTTCTAGCTGCCCCTGGGGCTGTTCCCAAGAAGCTAAGGACTCAGGTCAATGATATGTCACCTCTTGCTTTTCAGAATGTCCTAGGAGGTTTTAGATGATGTTTATTTAATTGTAGGGAGTGGAAATGCAATGGAGTAGCAGTCAGCGTGCTAAATGTAGCCTTCAAGAAACTATGTTTAAAGCTAACTGGGAGGAAGGAGAGGAGAGGTAAGGTTTTGGGAACTCCTTGTCCCAAGAGGTTCTCGGAGACCGTATCTTTGTTCAGTGTGGACTCTTCTTCCCTCTTAGCTGCATCTTCTCAAAATACTCCTCCTCCTTCTCTGCCCTGCTAAGAATGCAGTTTCTGGGTTTATATCAAATATGGCAGAAGTTACAGAACTGGGATCCAGGTTACAGATGCAAAAGCGGCAAATTGGGGACTACGCTTTAGGGATTTCTTTGAATTTATATTCACATGCAAATACTTTGAGTATGAGCAGGTTTCCTGCCTTTATAAAATGATTAAAGCATTTTATAAAACCTAAACCCTGAAAAGTATGCATAATCCTTCATATATGAACATTAATCTTACAATTTGTTTAGAATTTACTTAGCTTTTCTCAGTGTATGTCTACTTTGTCCTGACAGCTTTGGGTACAATACTTCGTGTTCATCCACACTGCCTACACATTGGCTTGCATCTGGGTTGAGACTGCAGTGAGACATAGCAGGCTTACCAGGGAGGGTAGCTTACACATGGATTGCATATCAGCTGTTATCCATATTTTTTAATGAAAATTCTTCTTCAGAGATAAGATACAATTTTAGTTCACATTTAAGGCCAGAAGTCAGAGGACCAACAAAGTCATTCTGAAGGCTCCACTCACAAAGATGCTTTGAGTGAAAAATTAAAACTGAGGTAGGGAATTTATGTCTTGTTGGTTCTGCTTATGCAGGGCAGCAGAAAGTAGAACAGCTAAAATAGCAGCAGCTTCCAACTGTAACTGGAGCTGTGCCAGCATGCTGTTATTTTCCATAAGGCACAATAGAAAAGAGATGTATGTTTAATATGCTTGTGTTCAAAGATTTTTTTAAAAAAATGTAGGTTGACTAAACGTAGGTGGTGTAGACTTAGATACAAAGTTAGTAGGGAGTGTGATTGTTGATGTATTTTGTCAACTACCTCATAGCTACAAAAGCTGAGAGGGCAAGCTGGAGACTTCTGAGCTGTGAGTCCTGGGGGCTTGGGACTGACCTGGGAGGGGAAACTCACCTTCCCCCTTGAGGTGTGAGGCTTTAAAACATTGTGCCAAAAACTCATTCATCTGCTTGGTTGCTTCAGTATTTAAAATGAAAACTTCATTTAAGGTCAGGTCATCCGCAGTTACACTTTGAAGGTTGTTGTCATCTGTAATCCATAACTGGAAGTGTAATTTAGAAACATTAGCTCAGACTTTATCCTGCTGTCCTCAGTTTCATATGTAGTTTCTCTATTTCTGTGCAGAAGCGAAGAAATCAAATACATATCTTATGCCATTCCTACACATCTTGAGTTTGTACTCAAGACAATATAAAATCTCACTATTAATGTCCCTTACTATTAAGGGGTTTGGTCTATATAGGAGGCCGTGCCCCGTAGAGCTATGACAGAGAGACAGCTCAGGGAAGAAGCCAGCAAATGAGTTGGGACTGGGGCAGCTTTTCCTTAGGGCTTAATCCCCACTTCTCTGCCTTCACTACTTGGCATCTGTCACAGACTGTTGAAATCCTCATCTCCGCATGTCTCTCCACCTCCTAGGTGCTCTTAGAGATTCATATCTGTAATTCATGGTCCATACATATTAAGCTTCCTGTATCTAAGCAGACTGAAGAATCATCCTTCTTGAACCTACTTGGCATTTTTTCTCTGTCTGCCAGCCTTCCCAGAAACAGACTCATAGTCCACTTGCTTACAGTCTTAAAGCGATGTTCAATGTCATGGACACCAGACAAGACCAACATACCCTTTCCCACACTTCCACTGGCATTCTAGTTTACAGCTCACTTCGTCAGCAACATAATGAAAGACAAGGAGGTTTTATCATAGCTTATTTACAAAATATACAACTCTGACAAAACAAAAAAAGCAATTTTGGACATTTCTCTTGGGCAGATTCTTCAATACCTTTAATTCAGTTTGAATTTAGGCTATAATCCTTGTATCGCCCCTTCCACTGCATACAGCTTTCTTCTGCGTTACTGAGCCTTCCTTCTGCAGTGTTTTTCACTCTTTTCTGATTGATCTTGCAGTTGAAGAGCAACTTAGTGCCACAAAGAAACCTGACAGTCCACATTTCCCATGCTGTAGTGCCAATTCTGTTGCAGCCACAATGGCCTACAATGGAAGCAAAGCAATGTTTGTAGGGTTCTTTGTCATACCTTTTGTATTTGGCTTATGGATTTATTAGAGAAAAATAGACAAGCTTTCAGCCTACAGAGTCTGCTACAGTTCTCTGAAGTAAGGCTTGCATGCCTTTAACTTTCTCTAAATTTGATAGACTCTTTAGCTGCTTAAATTTTAATTTAACAAGTATGTATGTTCTGGGAAAGTTTCACACCTGCAAACCACAATTGTACAGGGAGGTCATCTGGGATGTGTCTCTTGCTCTTCTCTGTCAGATGCCCACAGTCCTCGGAGATCTACCTAATCATAGCTATATGTGTTACTGCTATTTCCCTCACTCCTTAGCACAAAGACCAAGAAACAGACAAGAATAAAAAATAAAAAAATAGTCTATTAAATCAGTTTCTATAAGGATTTCTCTTTCTAACACATAATTAACCTCCACAGGTAAGGTTTCCTTGCTTATGGTATTTCAATCAGGAAGAGAGAGTTTTCTATGGGAAAACATAAATAAAATTATAATTTTAGTTAATCGTTTCTGCACCTCTTTTTACAAGAAATGTCATGTAAATGTATCATATTACTATACTGAGGTTGTTTAATGAAGAAGTATTATAAAAGCATTAATTATTTGAATGTTCTGTATTTAAAATTATATTTTCATATGTCAGCTACATCAGGTAAGTACTGGAAATAGGTTTTATTATAAAAATGAGTTTTTGTGTATTAGCTATTTAAAAAGTTACAATTTTGGTGACTGCTCACTAGAAACAGTTTTAAAATTAGCATCTACAGCAAATACACACTTATAAAATGTCTTTTCTTTCTCTTTTTCAGACATTTATAGTATTGAATAAAGGGAAGGCAATCTTCCGATTCAGTGCCACCTCTGCCCTGTACATTTTAACTCCCTTCAATCCTCTTAGAAAAATAGCTATTAAAATTTTGGTACATTCATATCCTTTTCCAATGGTGGTTCAAAATGTTACACACTGAAATTAAGAAAACTCATAACTCTTTCTATTTCATTGTGAATAAAGATTTTCCTAGGCTGTTAATTTTATTTTTTTATTTTACAGTGGAAGACATATGGTAAGGTTTTATAAATAACAGAAAATATGATATATCATATAGATGCATTTTATCTATTCTGTTGAATTTTAATACTTCTGCTGTACAAATCTGCAGATGGATTTAATAGTCCACCTTGATCAATTTTTTCAGAAAAGTTTCTTCAGATTTATTTTAACACTGACATTTTTTGCATCCCAGGCTCTTTTTTGCACGATGAAGCCTATCCATAAAATAATTACATTTAAAAAAGAAAAAAATGCACTTTGTGCTCACAGTTCCAGAAGAGCTCTCAGTTTTGCAAGCAGTTAGGCAGATAGGCAACTGCATGGAAACAGCTAGCTCGAGAGTGTATTTACATTGTCTTTAAGGGGTCCTTTGGAGGCCATCAAGACCAGCCTTATAGTCTATTGCAGCAGCGTGCCTGGAAGCCTGGTTCATGGATGCTGAATCTCATGTTCCCAAACCTGCCCAATTGCACTATAAGCCTCTGCCAATTTTAATACGTTGCCAGAAAGCATAGGCAGCAGCCCTGCAGGTGGTTTGCAAAGCATCTGTATGTGCAGATGGTGGACAGATTGGGGGACCATGACTGATGGGATGGTGCACATGGTGAAGTTTTAGACTGGCATGTGGGATTGGTGCCTGATGTTCATAACAGGTTGAAGGGAATTATCAGTGGGTGAGGTTTTGGTGTGCTTTTCTTGCAAAACCCCAGGACTGGGAAAAGAAGTCACCAAATTAAAACCTCAGTATGACAGTAAGACTTTTAACGTTGAACAGTTAGTCAAAGGCAGAAACCTTATTATTAGAGATTGCTGGCAGAAACTTCTAGGTCTTTGGAAAAAGGAATAAACAAGGCTGATTGCTGCTGGCTCAGAAGACCTTTTCCTCTGAGCTCCCTGGAAGTTAAAACAGTGAGAGAAGGGGAGGAAGGTGTCTGGAGAGGAGTCAGGGAGCATTTGGGGACAGCAGCTAAGGGACCTGACAGGGACCTACAGACATGGTGGTGTTGATGGTAAGAAAATGCAGCCAAATACTGTCAGACTGAAGCCTCTAATGAATGCTCATCCATTCAAGTTATACACTCTGATTTACAATACCTTCCAGCCCTGCATCTGTGCTAGTTGTGGGTAATGTTTTTTTTACTGGCATACTGATTACTGAGTTTGTTTTTGGTTTTAAGTTCCTCCCAATTGTGCTTAAAGAGTATCCAGCTGGTATTGATGTCAGAACAAAAGCAATTCTAATAAACAATATGCAATTCCAATATTTTACCTTCTATCTATTAACCAATTGTGTGATCATATAATTTAGCTCTATTATAGGAGGAGGTTTCCTTTCACTGTGTGGAGTGATTTCTTTTCCAACCAGCCAACTATGGGATGGGCTATTTTTATCTCAGATATAGAGGTAGGGTTTGGGGTTTTTTTTTTGTTTGGTTGGTTTTTTGTCTTAAACATAAGAAGATATTCACAAGTTCTATTTTTTTTTTTAATTCAGTATAGTACAAACACTGAAAATATGAATGTGTTTAATGAAGAGCTATGTCATGTGTTCCATAACGTAGTTTAGATTTCAGCTGCTTATACTAGGTCAGCCACCTATAGGGAAAAGATTAGGTGATAATATCGCTTATTATTTTTAATAATCTTTTCACTTTTACTGATAAGCTCTACTGCCCTCGTGTTTTGAGGTGGGTTTTTGGCATTTTGCTTTCACTTTCAGTTTGAGTGATGTGTGTTGAGCACAATAAAGTTGTCAAATTGGTTGGAAAACCTTCATCTGTATGTCCTCCAAATTCTCTAAACCTCTGTATAGGGTGCTCTGATCACATGTGCCCAGACATGTGGTCAGATATTCTTCCTCACTGCTGGTACCTATTGTAATACAAGATACAGAAACTGGTAACAGCATGAATTTCTCCCTCTCATCTCCCTCGTGCTCTGCTGACTCATGTCCTGGTATTCTGCCTTTTTTTTCCCCCTTTTGCCTGCCTGACTCGAGTTAACGTAGCGTGTAGAATCGAGGGGGAAACACAAGAGTGATGGGAGATGTCCAGACTTTAGCAATTAAAAGGAAAGGATGAAAAGGTAAGAATAGTTGGGGGGTTGAGCAGACAAAAAAGGGAGGTAGCAGTGGCTGGAGCTGCAGAGTGCATGGAGTGTTAGAAAGGAACAGGGAGATGCTCAGATAAAATGTGGTACATGCTAAGTACCCCATGCTAGCCTTTGGAAGCTGAAATTACAGTGTTACTCAGTGTGCCCTGACTGCCAGCAGGTATCTGTGAAACCAAATAGCAACGTCTGTTTTTTCCAATCTTCATCTTCCACCAAGTCCACACAGGCGATAGAGACTTCAGCTGCTCCAGTAATTCATTAGCTTGAGGCTGTATAGTGCATCTAACCCTAGTGAATGCTTATATGGGTAGAGCATGAAAAAGACAGTACATTTCCATGAAGAAGTCATCATATATCAGAATTGTTTACCTATATGTATAGTTGAATTGTTATAGAACATAAAACAGTAAATTAAGGGAACGTTGAGGTTGTAAATCAAATACTCAAAACATAGGAGAAGAAGGAAGAGAGGCACAGACATTGAATGTGTCAGTAATGCTTGAGATTCCCATAAGGGAAAACATGGCCAAAGTCTGGATTTCAAAGTATGTTAGCCCTTACTGAGCATCTGCTCCCTTTGAGAGTGAACAGCACTTTGGCCATGCAGCTCACAGATGTGGCGAGTCATGTACAGACTGAGCAATGTGCAAGGATCTATCTGTGGCCTTTGCTAAGAATGTTACCTAGCTGTAAACACATAATACACTGCATAGGGATAAAACCTCAGCTCTCCTAAGAGGACATTCCACTTCTTCAACTGTTTTAAGAGACTACTGAAGCTGTAGCCAGGCATCTCCAAGTTTTCCAACTACCAAAATGGATTCTTTTTATCTAAAGGAATTTCCCAATTATTTTGTCAGGCTCTTTAGAGCTGTCTGTGGACTGTGAGGACAAGCAATGTAAAGCTTTCTAAACATTTATTCTAAGCCACTGAACAATGATGCTAACTGTACAGAGCTTGCATGACAACATGATCTTCAGAATGGGTTAAGTCACTTAATGAATATTCACTGCTTGGTCAGGCATTTAGACAAAGGTCACCCACCTATCTATGGGAATCAGGCAGCTAAATCCTTCCCTGTGATTTGAATGTTTACTTGAAAAGGTATTTTCAAGTTTAATTGTTCAGCAACTGTAAGTGATGATCTTAATGTTTGCACCAATTTTCAACAAAATTTAGGCTGAGATGTTACTTCTACTCGTCCTTCCCCTATAGTGAAGCGTTGAGGGTTTAGATGGGGTTTTTTTTGTCCCTGACATAAAAATATACCCCTAAACCCAAAATGCTATCTACCTGATAAAAAAATAAATAAATAAATCCTGAGTTCTCATATACAAGTTATCTATAAATGGCTTGCTTCAGTTTAAGCTAGCTTCTTTGCCAGGTATGTTGATGCAGCTATTTGTAAGGAACATATCATTCAGAGAGATTACTAGAGGAAAAGCTAGATACGAGTTAACCATTTGGCATACAGGTGTAGCGGTTCTTATTTTTTGCTGCCCTCATGTGGCCATTTTGAGTCAGGGTTTGGTTTAGTTTGGTTAGTTCAGTATTTCTACATGTTTGAATAATCAAGTTTACCTGATTGCCAAGAAAAGGGAAAGACTGCACTGTTTGTAGAGCCAGTGATCTTGTAAACTAAGAACATTGCATTGGGTGTAATGAAGCCCCAGTGGACTGTCCCACCTCCTTACCACAAACCACTTTGAGCTGTTACTCTGGCTTTCATAGACCCAGAACACCTAATTGTTCCTTGCTGGAACTCCAAATAAAAATTAATTTTCATTCTAATCTTCACCAGTTTTCGATGCTTTTCAAGAAATTGACCACAAGGTACTAATGAACCATTTCCACATTATAGCATTGGTAAACAAGAGATGCTTATTTTGCTGCTAACGTGTTTTAAGAGAGCTCAAAAATAATACTGGAAAATTATTTGCCTTAATCTGTGAGCTCTCTATGGATTTCTGTTTCACTGACTGAAACGTGCTGCTAAGCTAGTGATATAGAAACATGGAATACAGTCACTTCAGCAATTAAAAACAGTATTCTGTGTGTTTGACAGACTGGTTGTGCTGGGTGCTGGGGTGGTGTGTGCTTTCTCTACAGCTCTGACTCATGGTAAATAGGATAAACTTTTTATATCTTGCATATGCCAGCTGTTGAGTTTAGTACCAAAACTGTAGAAGCAAAAGACTCACGCTTATTCAGTCATGTCAGGTATTTAAGTAAAACAATATTCTGCAAGTTATTTCAGTTTTTGCTGTTACTCAGCTCATGTTACCTCACAGGCGTGTGAGAGCTGTCTCCTTCACCTTTCAGTACCAGCTGAAAACAAAACACGGGGATATCACAAATTAACATCAGAACATCACCAAATCAAGACTAATATTAAAGTTTAATGTGCTAAAGTGAAAACTACCAGGTTAAGCAAAGTGTGTGTGCAATGTTTATCAAAGTCTAAAAGATTTGTGTAAGTGGCAATGTTTTACTGTACTTAAGATAGGTGGCTGATGTGATATTGTATGAATTACTGTTGTGTTTTCCTTAACTATATCTACATTATTCAGCATGCTTATCATGTGCACTATTTTGACCAACTGTGTATTTATGACCATGAGTAACCCTCCAGACTGGACAAAGAATGTAGAGTAAGTTGCATATGTTATTTAAAGATATCTTTGTTCCTCTAGGAGTCAGCATGCCAGGACCTGCGGTCATGTGTGCTGGCAGGAACTATCATGAGACACTACTACTATTTCCTCCCTAAACTCTGTAGAAACATTGAATAATTATTTAAATCTCATTCTAGTAGAATAATTGGGTAGAAAAAATGAAAGTTCTTTACAGATAGTATTCTACTGAGATTCCACTAGTTTTCTCTCATCTTCATGGTTTAGCATCTACCCAATGATTTTACCCCTGCTTATGCCACTGCATTAATAGCAGAACCATGGCCACCTATTGTAACATGTCACTTAAGGACAGCATATAAGCAAAAGTATTCCTAAAGTGAGAATTCAGTGCATGCTTGCGTTCTTCCATTTTTAGAGTCAATGCTAGATGTTTTAGATGTTAGTGATTCAGACAGTATCCAGTAACTTATGCTCACATAAGTTTAAGCTCACATGCTTTCTTGGTTAACAGTAACAGATCTAGTGTGGCATACTTTTAAACTGAGTGTCACCGATAAGTTTTTAATATATGTTATTTATTTGATGGGTTTATTTATTTTGATTTATAGATAAGTATAAGATCAGGACTGCTGTACTTCAACAGCATGACACAGTTAATGCATGTAAATACACAAGTATATATGATTAACATAATGCATTTTAGAAGAAATTGCTTATTTACTTATTTCTTTTCCAGTTTTGAAACAAAAAACTTTCATTTGATCATCAGGTTTCTATCAGAGTACCAATGTAAAATATTACTACTTATTTTGATTAAATTTTCCTATATTTGCCAGGTATACATTCACGGGAATTTATACGTTTGAGTCACTCATAAAAATCATTGCAAGGGGCTTTTGCTTAGAAGATTTTACTTTTCTTCGAGATCCATGGAACTGGCTTGATTTCACTGTCATTACCTTCGCGTAAGTTTTTGTTTTTTGCTTTTTCTTTGAAAGTGAAGGGCAAAAAGGGCATGAAATTAGTATCGATACATACCAATTTCATTAAATGGAAATTCTTGTATAGATTTACTTTTGTCTAAAACAATTTTCACATTCTAATATGCATATTTTGATGTAAACATAAATACTGCAGAAGCCGTTAGTACAGCTAGTATTAGAGAGGCTAATTTCATGTCCTGCATTTTTTTCTCTGAGCAGAAAAGGAGCATCCCTTTGACTTCATTCTCCAAACTTACCGATCTAGTCTAGATAAATTTTAGGCTTTCAAAGTTAAATCACTGCGATTCACTTCAGAGGCATTTAATTTAACTGAAGGCTCTGAAAGCATATTAATGCAAGGTAAACTGCAGTGAAAGGTAAACCTCTGACTGTTGCTATTTAGTTTTTTGCTAAAAACGCCAAAGCGGTCTTGATGAAAGACCCAAGTAAGTAGCATAAACTTTGCCTAAATTCTGAATAACTGTGATTTAATCCTACAGGTATGTAACAGAATTTGTAAACCTAGGCAATGTTTCAGCTCTTCGAACTTTCAGAGTATTGAGAGCTTTGAAAACTATTTCTGTAATCCCAGGTAAGAAGTAACTGGTGTAAGGTGTTAGGCCCCTCGTACCTCCCAACTGTTCCTTTTTATCCTGTCATTGTGTTTGTGTGTGAACTCCCCTATTACAGATATGTGACAGAGTTTGTGGACCTGGGCAATGTCTCAGCGTTGAGAACATTCAGAGTTCTCCGAGCTTTGAAAACAATATCAGTCATTCCAGGTGAGAGCTAGGTTAAACACTGAGGCTGACTTTAATTCACTGAAACAGAATTCATATTTTTTAAACATAAGTCTTATTTCTTTCCACAAAAAAGCAGGAATCGGAAGATATTAGAATTCACTGAAATCTCTGATTCATTGCTTTTTAACATGAGCTCTTTCTTTTTGAAATCAGCCTTTGAGTTTAACAGATTCTTGCATGAGACATTGCAGTACACAGCGTGTGTGGTCTGCATCGTATGATGTCAAGCTTTCTTCTCCACATTCAACGAATATCAGTATCCCTGAAGTTTTCTTACCCATGTGTATCTTACCTACATGATGTTATGTGGTATTTGTTGTGAATATTTGTGTCTAAAAAAATAGAACTGTTTGAAATGTTGACTTAGTAAGAAGATGAAGGAATAAGATAATAAAGAATAGCATGGGCATTGCATGGGGGATTTATTATCTTAAAATTCTATGATTTTCCAAACCACCTCCAGTTTTATAGCATTAACTTCTAATCCTATTTGTTGCTGAACAGGCTTTTTACTACTGTCTTCTAAATCTAGTATGTTATAAAACTGATAGTAGCAAAGGTTTGGGGCAAGAGGTATTGACAAATAAAAAGAAAGAAGACTTTTATGTGAGATTCATGTACAGCATGAATTTAAAAAGTCACTTGTTTTAGCATTAAAACAAGTGGTTTGAAATATATGCAACTCATTCCATTCACAGTTTCAAATGAACATAAATTTCAGCTATTTATTCATTTTCACAAGTGAAAAAGCTCTTCACAAAAATGTTATTTCACAGACACTGCAATCATTTGGGCTTCTGCATGAAATCTATAACTTTACTGGGAGACACTGTCATTTTTATGATTTTAAAAAGTTTTTAACATCAGAATAAAAATTCCTTTGCATTTGCAGGCTTGAAGACTATCGTGGGAGCCCTAATTCAATCTGTGAAGAAGCTCTCGGATGTTATGATCCTGACTGTGTTTTGTCTGAGTGTATTTGCACTAATAGGGCTGCAGCTGTTCATGGGCAACTTGAGGAATAAATGCCTGCAGTGGCCTCCAGAAAATTTTACTCTGGAAACAAATATTACTTCCCAGCTAAACAGCACCATAGGTGAAAATGGTACATTGGTTAATTCAACAGTGACTCCATTTGACTGGAAGGGGTACATTGAAGATGAAAGTAAGTATTGTCAGCATAATTCTTATTGAAGTGATTTGTGGCTGACCCAGTTCTTAGAAACAAAGAGGGGAAGACATGAACATTTAGTTAAGACAGAGCAGGAGAAGTGTGTTTTCTCTCTCATAGACCTGCTCCAAAGGCCGGCATGGAAGAGGGAACAAGGAACATGGGCTCTCTAGATGATACAGCTCTTTTTCTCAGCTCCTTCTGCCAAATCCACATCTCTCTTGAGACAGAAAGAGGTCCAAATTCTTAAAATTACCTAATAGTCATAAACATTTTCCATTCCCATATTCCAAAGCAAGATCAGCAACAGACTGCTATGCCATTTCTGACAGACATCAGAGACTTCCGACATTCTGTGAGGTCTCCAGTATTTTCATCATCTATCCATTCTTGTGTTTCAATATCCTTATTTTTAGAAAGGGATTTGGGGTTTTTTTTAGGGTCTAACAAATTTCCTGCTGCAATTTATGCTCATTGTTCTTATCAACTTCACCACAGGCATCAAAACCAAATTATTCCCTATCATTAATCACAGTCTCTGAAGTGTTTAGAGACTATTCGTATGTTGCCATGCCCTGCTCTCTCCTCTTTCAGTCTTCTTTTTGTATGCTGAGCAACCCAGATAATTAACCCTGTTCTCCTACAATTTATTTTCTGGATCTCGATCTCCCATCTGGACCCTTTCTTACTTGTAAACATCCTTCTTAAAGTGCAGTACCCACACCTAGGCATTTCTCCTCCACATGAGGCGTACTGAGTAGAGAATAAGGATTATGTGGTAGCATAGTAACTTACACTTCTGTTCTATATATCCTAGGCTAGGACTTGCTTTTGTTTACAATTGTAACATCATTAAATCCTGTTCAGCTTGTGTTTTATCTGCCTCCTGAATCTTTTACAGACTTTTACCTCATTGAGTTCCCACTTTGTATTTGCACAGTTCATTGTTCCAGCCTAAACAGCACCCTATTTTTTCAGACCATCCATCCAGCTGTCCTGGATCTTTTAAATTGTAATTGTTTCCTCAAACTCACCACCACCCTTATCAGATCAGTATCATTTGCAAATTTGATAAGCGTTCTTCCACCATCTAGACTAGTTAAAACCTTGAACAGCAACAATCTCAGACAAACATCTTCAGAAGTTGTTTTGATGCATCTTTCCTTTTTGAAAATTTCCCAAAGCATGATTTTCCAACCAATTTTGCTGATACAGAGCAGTCTGGAAAACTGAGAATAGATAAAGAAATGCATTTCAGTACAGGTAAATGTGAGGTTGAAAACTTAAGCTCCTTATTCTAAAAATCAGTGCTGCGCCACTCATGTTGAGACAGGTTCACATGCATAAGATTGTAGTTGATGGTATACATCGTCTCTAAAAATGCCAGTTACTTTTGGAGGAAAATAAGAACTAAAGAGGAGAGAAAGAAAGAAAGGGGAAGTGGAAAGGGAAAACTGACCACAGTAGGCAGCTGCAAAGAGAAGTATTGGGGTCCCCAGGTGAGTCTCCTCCCCTGGGTATCCTTTCCAGTGCAGCAATGATCACTCCATAATGCTTTTCCCATGGCAACTATGTATTTTTTTTATTAGCTTCTCCTCAAACTCCCTACAGGTTGTTCCTGCTTACAGCACTATTAGCACTAATTGGAACGCACTTCGATTGGGGTGGATGCTGCATGGCTGGTTGTTTTTTAAGCTTGTACATGCACATTATTAGGTTACCTGATACAAACCAAAAGCTACAAGCAAGGAGTAGGAAAAAGGGGGAGAAAGGGGGGCAAATCTCACACCAGAGACAATTGTTCCCCGTGAGTACCTGCTGACACAATAATGTGTTTGCAGATATAACGTCATGAGAATAACAGCAACATGAAAAATAGCATGAGAACAAAGGAAAAATAGTGCCACAGAGGATCTGGAAAACACTGCCGCAGCAGCTTATGTGAAAGGTTGCAGAGCTGCAACTGAGAGGCAGGTTATAGAAATGTAATTGGAAAGCCCTTAGCTATAGAGAGGCTAAGGCAACCAAGGCACTGTGGAGCAGCCAGTACTCTGACAAATTAAGGTTAAAACTCTGCAGCCAAAAAGCTAAATAGTATCCTGTTCACATAAATAATTGACCAGGAAGGCAGTATTACCCCTGTATTTAGCGCTACTGCAGTTGCTACTGGAATACTATATAAAGCTCAATTTAGATAGAATGTTGAAAAATTGGAGGATGTTCAGAAAAGAGCAAAATGATTAAAGGACTGGAAAACATGCTTTATACCAAGATAGACCAGGAGCTCACCTACTTAGCATATCAAAGAGAAGGTTTAAGGGGTGATTTGATCACAGTTGAGAAAAACCTCATGGGGAACAGAAATTTCATCATAGACATATCTTTGATCTAGGAGGCAAAGATATAACAGGTTCAATAGCTGCAAGTCAAAGCCAGACAAATTTCCAACAGAAGTAAGACAGCTTCTAACTGTGATCACACGGCTGATCAATGACTGTGGTGGATTTCCATCTGAATGTCTTACATCGAGATGCAATCTTTTTGTGAAACCCACGTTACTTGAACATGTGAATTCATGTCAATCCCATGCCAGAGGGTATAACAAAGACTAAGCAAAGTCTCCTAACGAAGACCTAGACTTCAAGGTCAAATGTAATTTTCTGGCTTTTTAATGAAGAATCTAGAAACTCAAGCTCTGATTTCATTTGATTTAAAGAAGAACTGACGCTGGTTTGAATTAGTTACAGAAAATACTTTATTGAATGGCTACTTGACTCTTTGGTATATTTACACAGGATTTCATACATACTATGACATTTATAATGAAATTTTGAGTCTTATTATGAAGTTGATAAGCTTGTCCTTGCTTACCCACAGTTTCAAAGAGAAAAATTATCTTCTCACAGCTTCCTGCTCTCTTCTTCCAGGTGGGCAGACAGGGTACAGAAATGGCTCTTAAACCAGTTGTGCACAGGGCAATAAGATGGGACTTACCTGGAGCTCCGAGCAGTGCAATAGCACTATCTTTTGTAGGAATTAAAGAAATTGTTATGCCAATGGTTGTGTATGCTATTAAAAAAAAGGGCACGTAAGCCCTAATTTTGCCATTGTGCTCATTTTACATAGCAAGTCTCATAAAATTAATGCTAGATAAGTTTAAGTTTATCTTAGCAAGCTTGCCATAAGCAATCTTTTCTAGGAAACAAGTTCTCACAATCTATTTTGTGAAATAAAAATTATTCTCATTCATTGACCTAGGTTTACCCAAACAACTGTAAATTACTTTGAAGTGCTCACCTACCAGGGATTTTTTCCCATTTTCCAATCAAATAAAGGGGAGCCAAACATATACCTTTGATGTAGTGAGGGACTTTTCACATTACTTTGGTAAAATACAACTCAGAATTTTGCATCTAGTTAGGGACACATGCTTATACTGCTCAGCTTGTGTTGTTATAAAAGTTTTTCTATCATGATAATATTTTGAGCATTTGTCACAGCTGTATCAGTGCACTCAGAGAAAGCCTGGGTGACTATTATTGCCTGTGGAGCTGGCAAGTACAGCGTGCTTACAGAGCACATCTTGTCTGAACTTGGATACAGACCCTGTTTCAGCGGTTCGGCTCAGGGGATGCAGTACTGATCATGACTGACTGCTCCACATAAACTATATCAAGTCAGGTTTGCATTCTTCCCAACCAGCTGCTATGTTCCAGCATGTTTTAATCATGATTAGCTGACATAATGCAGAATAAGATTTGCCTCGTAGGGGTCAGCTGTGGTCAGCATCATGTCAGCTAACTTTACTATTTACAGCTGTATTTCAGCGCAGTGCAGTTCTGCAATGCATACCAGCCCAGAATGACAGCAGCCGCACATAGGGTTGTGCACATTGCAGAGTACAAAAGGTTGTACCATGTAAGACATAGATGCATCATTAGATACTGAAATCCAGTCCCTCACAGAGTGTCAGAACAAGGTCTACATACAGCTTAAAACCCAGCTTTTCCAGATGGTGAATTTCACTTACAGGATAGAGAGACGCAGCTGGCCGGGGTTCCATGTCCTTCCTGCAGCAAATCAATGTGCTGAGCCAGTAGCTTGTGATACCTCCTCAGGCTCAAAATTCATTAGCTTCTGTAGTAACCCCGCTTGGGCAGAACAGCCGGCACAGCCACGGTCAAGTTTAAACTCAGCTGCGCTGCTAGCATTTCAAATGAGATCATTTTAAGCGAACCTAACAGGCCAGTTCAATGGAAAAGAAATCCAATGGAGGGTTTAAATCCTCTCAGGAAGCAAAAAAGGTACCACATTAACACTAAAGCTGCTGTGCTTCAGAAGTATTGGAAGCTGGGGAGGTGCTTAGGGGAGTATCATCATGTCCCTGCCCTGTCCTTACAGACATCCCAAGGCAATGCTTTTGGTCTCCATCAGACACAGGATTCTGGGCTACGTGGTCTGACCCTGTGTAAATGGCATCCTTAAGCCTATGACTAAGTGGGAGATTGTTACTACAGGAGCATGCTCCTCCTGTGATAATTCTTCCAAAAGCAAGAGCTTATCAACTGCAGGCATCTGCTTTGAGGGGAAAAAGAAAAGCACTTAAGGATATGGTCAAAGTGAATCTTAATAAGCACAACATTTTACACATCATCGCTTTATTCTTCTAAGAATAGACAGGTCAACGTCTTTGTTGTTTAAACCATCTAAAATGCCCTTTAAATACAGGATTACTATACAGATTATGGGATGGTTGGTTACAGGGTGATTTGGTGGAAATTACATGATTTCTTTTTCCTAAGGTGATCAATAATTTCATCCCATATTCCTAAAATCTTGCCTACTCAAGTTCGTGACTGTTGCAGTAATTCTGTCTGAGTTAATTTTAGATGTATACCGGGGCCTTCACACCAACCAGCAGGCTAATTGCAGCATGCACGCACCCATAAGTCAGAGCCATTGGCATCTGGGTGGTTTTTTGCAGCGCTCACATATTGGACAACTGTCACAAGTGGCATTATACTGCTTGTTCAAAATTGCATCTAAAATCACTTCAACACTTTTAGAGCTGGGACTATTTATTTCATAGAGCTGCAAGAAAACTTTCATATTCAGAATCTTAAAACTTTTTAAAAATTCTTTTCTAAACAGGTCATTTTTATTTTCTGGAAGGGCAAAATGATGCTCTGCTTTGCGGAAATAGTTCTGATGCTGGGTAAGACCAAATTTCATCATATCATTGCACTGTGTACAAATTAGATCCACGTTCTTTAGATGTACAGTTGGAGGGGGGCTACATTTTGAGTCACCACTTTCTTTCACGTAAGAAATACTAGGATTTTACACTGAGGATTTGGGTTCCTGGTCAGAGCTCAGTGAATTGATTAGATGAGTTTACATCTTTGCATGAATGAATCAATGATTTGGTATTAGTGTAGCTCCTGCATGGATGAGAAGTAACAGATGTAGCAGCTGGAAAATGCATGTTAATTTGCAGTTCCAGCTGCACATATGAGTTCTAACAGGCTCGGACAGTAGAAAACACTGACATTGACATTAATGTCACAACATTGATAACTGAAGAAATTATTTGGAATGTTATGTTTTAGAAGCTTAGATTAAACTTTTGACACTAATTTTTATGTGCCTTTCCTGCTTAATTTTTCTACTGCACTTTAAAGTAATTTTCTATTATAAATCACAACTGCTATTATTTCTAGTCTGATTAACTAAAGAAAAATCCACTTTTTGACACTAATCTTCTCCTGGTCATTCCAGGTGATAATATTAAAATAACCATATAAGATAACACCCAGTTTGTCTTTGTAGGCAGTGCCCAGAAGGATATACATGTGTGAAAGCTGGTAGAAACCCCAATTATGGCTACACAAGTTTTGACACCTTCAGCTGGGCTTTCTTGTCACTATTTCGCTTGATGACTCAAGACTTCTGGGAAAACCTTTATCAATTGGTGAGAACTTTTTCAGGCAAAACAGACTAAATATGTTTGCACCAATAACGCAGGAGGCCTAAAATAAATTTTCTTACGTTATCTTCATGTTAACAATATGGAAAACAGAACTTCTGTTAACCTATTCTTGCTTATAAGTGTGTTCTTATTTCCAGACGCTGCGTGCTGCTGGGAAAACATACATGATATTCTTTGTTCTGGTGATTTTTCTGGGCTCTTTCTACCTGATCAACTTGATCCTGGCTGTGGTCGCCATGGCCTATGAAGAACAGAATCAAGCAACCATGGAAGAAGCAGAACAGAAAGAGGCAGAATTTCAACAGATGCTGGAACAACTGAAGAAGCAACAGGAAGCCGCTCAGGTATAATTTATGGTGTAGTAATGCAGAAGGGTATGTAACTAATTTTACTAGAGATATTCACCCTCTGCTTTCTGAATTTAGAGTTATAAAAAACCCTGTTGGGCTTTCAACAACAGTGCTAGCTCAGAGATTTTCTATTCTGCACTAAAGACATTGTACTGTGAATGATCCAGCCATAATCAAGAAGGAATATTCAAAACTAGGTATACATTATTCATTATGTTTTTCTTAGTCTATTGTCATTAAAACAGTCTGTTAGACTTCTGCATTTAAAAACTACTCATGAAAGATGAAAGAAGGCTATGACCAACACATATCTTGAGTCAACTGAGTAATAAAAATTAGAAAAAAAACAGGGAGAGGATATCCTATGGAAAGTGTTAAGATATAGGGTGTTTGGACTAGAAATTCTGTATAAGTAGCTTTAAAATCCCCCATGATATTGGGATTTGCTCAGTGACACAACTTCATTTTGCAACATGGCAGGCAGCAGCAGTGGCAGCAGCAGCAGTAACAGCATCTGCAGAGTCCAGGGAGCCCAGCGCTGGGGGAGAAGCAGGAGGGCTCTCAGAAAGTTCCTCAGAGGCATCAAAATTGAGCTCCAAGAGTGCAAAAGAGAGGAGAAATAGAAGGAAAAAAAGAAAACAAAAAGAGCAGTCTGGAGGAGAGGAAAAAGATGAAGATGAATTTCACAAGTCTGAATCAGAAGAAAGCATCAGAAGGAAAGGTTTCCGATTATCTATTGAAGGCAATAGATTGACATACGAAAAGAAATATTCTTCTCCACATCAGGTATTGCATATAGCTATTTTTACTAGACGCATACATTTAAAGCATTATAGGTTGTTACAAAACTACTTTAGTTTTCCTGGTACTGTAATATGACCCTACTACCTAAAGAAAGGAAACACTGAGATTTTCATTAAACCTTATTATTGTTGCTAGTGCTTAAGAAAAAGTGCTATAGCTGCTAGATTGTCTTGTAAAAAACCACAAAGAATTAAATGTAACCTCCTATCTCTATTCTTGTAATACGATTGTTTAAAAATCATATTAAAATATTCTCTGATTTATTTGTGGGGCGTGGGGTGGTAGAGTGATTATGTATTATCTAGACCTATTAAAATGCTACAGTATTTCTCCATTATGATAGACTCATGTTTTCCTCCTTCTTCAATGAAGTTTGGAGGTTGGTTCAGTATGTGCAGGATGCTGCATATGTGAAAGAATGTGCACATATAGACTCCATTTTTTGCTTGATGGATGTTGTGCAACTACTCTACTCAGCAACTCTAACTGACATTAGGAGAAAGGAGTGCTCAAAATTGGTTTTGTTTTAAGAATCCATGAACAGTGGTATTTGTCTCTGCAAATTATAAATATAATGAAATACATACAAAAATTTCACAGCAGTATTTAGCTTCTGGGAAAAATGGTTACCCTCACATAAGAAAAAAAAACCCCTATGTTATCCTAATAACTATGCTAAGTTTGAAGGTTTCAGCTAACAATCACAAATTTTGTTTGCCTGCAGTCTTTGCTGAGCATTCGAGGCTCCCTGTTTTCTCCAAGGCGCAACAGCAGAACAAGTCTTTTCAGCTTCAGAGGTAGAGCAAAGGATATAGGATCAGAAAATGACTTTGCTGATGATGAGCACAGCACTTTTGAAGACAATGATAGCAGAAGAGATTCTCTCTTTGTGCCGCGCAGACATGGTGAACGGCGCAACAGTAACATTAGTCAGGCCAGTAGGTCATCCAGGATGCTGGCAGTGTTTCCAGTGAATGGGAAGATGCACAGCACTGTGGATTGCAATGGGGTGGTTTCCCTGGTTGGTGGACCATCTGTTCCTACATCGCCTGTTGGACAGCTTCTGCCAGAGGTGATAATAGATAAACCAGCTACTGATGACAATGTAAGAAAGTTTTAAATAGCTTAGGCATCGTGGCCTTTTCTTACTGCACCAGCCAGTGTTTTCTACAGAATGGAGCCCTTGGCAATGCTTCCTGGTTGGTCAAGCTGTGAATGCTCTTGCATCTTGTAAAATCCTTAATAAATAAAACAGCTAAGATAGGTTTGCAACCTAAGCATTTACTTACAAATATTCACATAACTAACAAATGCAATTTGCAGTTTCCAAGTAATAAAATATTAACTTACTTGCACATTCATAAGAGCACTATGCTTTACTGTATTACTGTGCTATACTTTACTTTTGCTGATCTAAAGGTCCATCTGGCTATGGTCTGCAAAATCAGTTACTATACAATTGAAAATAGTATACAAAACTGTTACCATATAGCTGCAATCAATATGATGCTGCCAATACCACTATATCAAAATTAGCTTTATTAGTTAATTTTGATAACATTCTTCCTTATCAGCCCCATTGAAAATGTAAGGAAGCTCTCAATTCTTTGTTATAATTTATTTCTCATCCCTATATTTTTCCATCCATTGCTGGTGGAATTCTGAAGTGCAGACAACAAATAGTTCATTGGAAGATCACATTTCAATACATACTTTCAAAAATACAAATGTCTGTGTGAACATATGTGCAGCACGTATTGCTGCCATTCTCTTACCATATACAAGGTAAGAGAAGAGGTCTCAAAAAAATTTCTTGCTTAGTTCGAAGTTGTCTACTCACATTACTAAAAAAATACCAGCATGAGGAAGCATGAGGAAGTCAGACTTTTTTTACTGGCTACAGTTTGCCTAGGGGAAAAGACAATTATGTTACAAACCCCAGAATATTCTGTCAGCAAAAGCAAGGAAAAGAATTACAGTTTGCAAAAAATGTATGCAATATTTGGAACTCAATCCTTTTCCGTTTGTTTAAATCATTTTTCATGGCTTGAAGGAAAGAAAGCAAAAGTTAAACCCTGTCTTGAAAAGTAGGTAATTATTGCCTCATATCTTTTAAAAATTGTTTAAATAACAATTTAAAAATAATTTTAAAATTATTTCAGATACTGAAAAGTAATAAAAGTCTGACATGATAAAAATTGAAGTGCACGAAGCACGTATCCAAGCTAAGACATTAATAACAGGGTTCTATATAGTATTTTCTTATCTTATTACTTCAACATGGTCTCACCTATTATTGTTCTCTGTATAGGGCACCACTACAGAAACAGAAATGAGGAAGAGAATATCAGGCTC